AGTGTTTGGAATGTTATGTGGTGAGGGGACTTCTTTTTATTTAGATTAGCAGCAATCTGATTTTACATATCAACCCCAGATCCCATTTAATCCATTCCTTCCACGCCCTTCACCCAAACCCCCAATCCCATCTGCTCACCAGGTGTTGTGAGGTTTTCCACACCCCCAATCCCATCCCAGGGATTGTGAAGTTTTCCATAGGGGACCATCAAAGTCTGTTACATCGTTTGGGGCAGGGCCTAGGCCCTCCCCCATGTGCCTAGACTGAGAGAGTCTCCCTCCATGGGGAAGGCTCCCAAAGTCCATTCACACACAAGGGATAAATTCTGATCCACTACAAGAGGACCCAAGATGGTTCAGGCTGGCTGAGAGAGTATCCCTCTGTGTGGAGTGGGCTCCAAAAGTCCATTCATGGACTAGGGATAGATACTGATCCACTATTAGGGCTTCATAGATTGCTCAGTCCTCCAAACTGACATTGTCATTCAGGGGGTCTGGCACAATCCTATGCTGATTTCCAGCTATCAATCTGGGGTCCATGAGCTCCCTTTGTTCAGGTCAGCTGTTTCTGTGGGTTTCTCCAGTCCTGGTCTTACCCCTTTTCTCTTCACTCCTCCCTCTCTTCAACTGGATTGTAGGAGTTCGGCTCAGTGCTTAGCTTTGGGTGTCTGGGTGTGCTTTCATCAGCTACTGGATGAAGGCTCTAGGATGACATTCGCTAGGATGGCATTTAAGGTAGTCATTAATTTCATTGTAAGGGAAAATCATTTGAGGCAGCCTCTCTACTATTCCTTAGATTCTTAGCTGGGGCCAAACTTGTAGATCTCTGGATATTTTCCTAATGCCAGATTTCTCTCTAAACCTGCAATGGCTCCCTCTACTAAGACATGACATTTCTTGCTTCCCACTATTCTCTCCCCTGACTCAATCTTTCTGCTCCCTCATGACCTCTTCCCCCCTCCTTTTCTTCCCTCCTCTTTCCCCTAACTCCCTCTCCCCTCCCCCCATGCCCACAATTTGCTCAGGAGATGTTTTCCCTTTCCCCTTCACCAGGGAACCGTGTATGTCTCTCGTAGGACCCTTCTTGTTTCCTAGCTTCTCTGGAGATGTGAATTGTAGGCTGGTAATCCTTTGCTCTATGTCTAATTCCCATTAATGAGTGAGTACGTACCGTGTTTGTCTTTTTGTGACTGAGTTAATTCATTCAGGATGGTTTCTCCTAGTTTCGTCCATTTGTCTTCGAATTTCAAGATTCCATGGTTTTTCCCCCTGAGTACTACTCCATTGTATGAATGCACCACATTTCCTCTATCCACCCTTCAGTGGGGGGGCATCTTGGTTGCTTCCAGGTTCCTCCTGTTAGAAATAATGCTGATATGAACATAGTTGAACAGATGTCGTTGGTGTGTTAATGTGCATCATTTGGTTATATACATATGAGTGAAATTGCTGAGTGTTGAGGTAAACTGATTCCCATTTTCCTGAGATACCGCCATACTTATTTCTAAAGTGGCTGTACAAGTTTTCAGTCCCACCAGCAGTGGAAGAGTGTTCCCCTTTCTCCACATGCTCTTCAGCATAAAGTTTTGTGTGTGGTGATAGATATGGGTCTATCTGTGATCTTCTACATGTCAGAATCAACTTATACCAGCACCATTTGTTGTACTTGCTTTATTTTTTCCATTGTATAATTTTAGCTTCTTTGTCAAAAATCAGGTGTTCTTAGACGTGTGGATCAATATCAAAGTTTTCAATTAGATTCCATTGGTCTACCTGTCTATTTTTTGTCAATACCAAGTTGTTTTTAGTACTATAGCTCTATAATAGAGCTGAAATCAGGGATGATCATCCCTCCAGACCTTCCTTTATTGTACAAGGTTGTCTTGGCTATTTCGGTTTTTTTTATTGTTGTTGTTTTTCCATATAAGTTTGAGTGGACTTCTTTTTTCCAGTCTATTTAGTGTTCTGTAAGCTTCTTGTAGCTTCATAGGCATGCCCTTCTTTAGGTTGGATATGTTTTCTTCTATGACTTTGTTGAATATGTTTTCTGCGCCTTTGAGTTGGAATTCTCCCTCTTGTTTCCCTGTTACTCTGAGGCTTAGGTCTTCTCATGGCGTCTTAGATTTCCTGGATGTCTTGTGTTATGAATCTTTTCTATTAAACATTTTCTTTATTTGGTGAATCCATTTCCTCTATCATTTCTTCAACACCTGAGATCCTCACTCCCATCTCTTTTATTCTGTTGATGATTTTTTTTATCTGTAGTTCCTGTTTGTTTACTCAGATTCTTGATTTTCTGACTATTCTTTATTGCTTCTGTTTCAACTTTTAAGTCCAAAACTTTTCCTTCAGGTATTTTTTTTTGCTTTCTACTTGACCTTCTTCAAGTTATTTATTGATTTCTTCTAATGTTTTTGTTTGTCTTTTCCTCAATTTATGCAGTTTGTATGTAAAATAAAATAAATTTTATAAATAAAAACAATTATACGCAAAGTATTTTGAGAGATTTGCAGAAGATAGAAGTCTGGCTTGTAAAGTTTCAGAGGAAAATTTAAAGACTTTATTGTGGACATTATTTGTTTTTGAATTAAGATCCTGTGGTTGTGGTTAGATGGGTCTGAATAATCAGCTGTGGTTAGCAAGATACCATATCTATTAAAATAATCTGTGGTTCTGCTTAGTCTTGGCTGAGGAATCAGCATGATTAACAAGATAACAGAACTACAGCAGTGAACCTAATGTTGCTTGGATAATTGATGCCTGTCAGCTGGAGCTAAGACATTAGCAGTGATTAAGAAGAGAACTGTATCACTGAGGTGAAATCTTCTGGGAAGTGTTTTCTCTTTTTAAATTTTTTATTTTAATTAGAAAGATTATTCCACATGTCATTTCCAGGTCCCTCTACCTCCACTCCTCCCCTGGGCCTCAAATAACACCTCGCCTATCCAATACCCTTTCTGCTCCCCAGGGATGGCAAGGCCCTCCGTAGGTGGTCCTCAGAGTCTCCCACATACTCCCAGACAGGGACCAGGCCCGGGACCAGGCCCAGGCCCAGCCCCACGCCCCTATGTCCAGCTCAGTGCCCATCCCTCCATGTGGGGTGGGCTCCCAAAGTCCATCTGGGAAGTGTTTTCTAGGAGCACAAAGTAGCTGTGTTCCAGAGGTGGCCAAGGTTGCACCTTCTGCTGGCAGGCAGACTTGGCAAAGTTTAATAGTCACCCAGGTGTTGCTGGTTTTGCAGGCATGAATGGTCATGTAGAGCAACTGAGGCGTGGAACTCTGAGAGTCCAGGAGAAGCCATTGGTGAAGGTGTAGCCTCAGTGGTAGTTGAAAATCCAGGACTAAATTGCTCATGCAAAGAAGTCGAGGCTTGGCACCCTGACGAGAGCCTATGAGAGCCTATTGGTCAAATTGCAGCCCAATTGCATCAGAAAATGCCAATGATTTGGAAATGTCAATACCATGGCATGACTACCAAGAACAGCAGCAGCAGCAGCAGCAGCAGCAGAGTGGAGCCAGTCAGAGCCTAGAAAATGAGCTGTGTGCACTTCAGTGGTCAGGGCTGGGGAAGTGATCCCAGCCTTTGAAGGAGTCCAGAAGATCATGAATGAATCCCTGATATTGGAGGGTTGTAATATTTTTTTTTTGCTTTAATTTGATCTTTACTCTGCCAATGTTCTCCCCCTTGAGTTATTTTACTGGAGACACAGTTGTGAGATTTTGAATTTTAAAAGACTTTGGATTTGAGGAGATTAGTTACTCTCAAGGAGCTGTAATTTTGAAGGGTTTACATTTATAAGTATTGTGGAACTTTTAAAGTTATATGTGACCTGGGAGATTATTTCTAAAGGAAAAAAATGTGACACAATTAGAGTCATCAGAGGAAAGATCCTCAGTTGTGGAAATGTCTTGATGAGATCTAGCTGTAAGGCATTTCTTAATTATTGATCAATGGAGGAGGTCACTCTGGTGGGTTTGCCATCCATGATCCTGGGTCCTATAAGAAGGTAGGCAGACTACAGACTTTGGTGAATCCCCAAGAGAGACCTTATCATCTCTGAGGACTGGATTGGGGGAAGGATGGGGGAATTTGGCAGGACAGACTAGGGTGGGGAGGGGGAACTGGGGTTGAAATGTAAAATGAAAAAAAGTAATGAAATAAAAAGCTTATATCAAAACAAATAGAACAAAAAGAAGGTGAGCTGAGCAAGCCAGGGAAAGAATCTGAGTAAACTAATCCCCTCCAGGGGCTGTGCATTTGCTCCTGTCTCCAGTGGTCTTCCCTGTTTGAGTTTCTGTCCTCACTTCCTTCACTGCTGAACAGCAAATGCTGAAGTGTAAGCCAAATAAACCCTTACTGTTCACAACTTGCCTTTTGATCACAGTGTTTCATTTTAGCAATAGAATTCCAAACCTAGGCATCCAGTTAGTCTCCTTTGGGTTAATCCAGGAGAATTGAAGTATCAGGTGCTCAGTGGATCCATTCTGCTCTGTGTGCTCCCAACAGGATCAACCTACATTTTCCCTCATTGTGGATCAGTGCTTCCAGGCATGACATGACTGTTGGCCTATTGAACTCTGTAGCTCTGATTATATACAGCTGACCTAAACAAGATTGTTCCCATCAGTACTCTTTCATGGTGTAGAGGCTCCTAGGCCACTCTTCTGTCAAAACTGTAGGCAGTCGATAGTTGCAGACAATGTATTTTTTTCTTCCCAGGGATATAACCACTGAAAAATTTCCAATACTTCTGGGAATAATGGCGCACACTGTGCCCAAGTGTTGGGAACTGAGACTGCCTCATGTTTCCTATATGATCTATAGAGTATATTCCAGGACTGGCAGATCTTCATAATGAGACCCTGTCTCAACAAATGAACAACAACAAGAATAAAACCCCCACCCAAACCCCACCATTGATGACATGTTTCTAAGGAACCCCAAGATAACTCATTGCTTCTCCTGCTAGATTTGTGTGTAGTCTTATATTTTCTTCTGACACCGGTGTCTCATGGAGGTTATATAGACATTCTTTTTGTAACCCTACATAAAGTTCACAAACATTCCAAAAGTATCTCTCAGGCAGGTTAGGAAACTGACCATTTTGGTTTCGTGAAGGAATCAAGGAGAACCAAGAAGAATCTCTGAGAGAAAAGACCAATCTTGAAGTCTTCAATCAGATGTAGAGGGTTACAGTCAAGGTGTTCTGCAAGAAGAGACTACACTCAGACTTGGGTTTGCAATCCTAGCACACAGCAAGCTCAGGAAGAGGAGGAAGGAGTCTGAAATATGCATGAAGTTTAAGAGGTTCTGTTTTAGAAACAAAAACAAAAATTAAGGAAGCACAGAGATAGAATCCATACATTAGGAACCCAACCCATCACAGCATAGGAAAGAAGAGTCAGGCGCCTGGTTAGAGCAGTTCCTCTTCCTCGGCAGCTGCTAATATGACATCGTCATGACAGGAAGCAGAAACAAGCCTACAGAAGACACACATCTTGTGTCTGCATGTTTGGAAAGGAGACCAACTGTCTGCAAACTTGTGGCAACTGGAAGATGCCATGACCCCTTTTCTTGCATTCTTGCTGCATCTCGGTGAGATACCAAATTGGGATGAGAAATTCTTGTGAGAGATGGAATCCACCTCACAACCATGATTTTAGCCATTAGGATGTCTCATCAGCTCCAGAAGTCACCAGAAAGTGGAGATTGTGCTCATTTTTCAGTGTAAACACTCACAGGTAACTCTCTTGCAGGAATGATTCTGAACATCAGGATCCCAGTGCTGGCAGGTGAGTGTCTTCCCAGCTGCCCCAGATTGGGCATCCTTGATGAGGATCACAGGGAACTCATGAACAGAGCAGATGGAGAACAGCAGGTTTGGCCTGATGCTGGGGATGCCTGAATTGTTCTGGGTCTGAGATCTTGTATCTGAGGGGAGTTCTGAGTGGTCCTGGGTCTGAGTACTTATATCAGATGGGGAGATGTGGAATGAACTGTCAGTTTCTTTCAGGGCCCCTATCTAAACCTACACTCAGGGCAGAGCCAAGTAATGTGGTAGCCACTGGGAACCAGGTGGCATTCTTCTGTGAAGTACCCGTGGTGGCCAAGGAATATCGTCTCTACAATGAAGGAAGTCAAGATTACCTGACACCAACAACCATTTTAGAAACTGAGAACAAGGCCATATTTTCTATCTCATCTGTTCAATGGTACAATGCAGGGCAATATTGGTGTGGATATACAAGCTCCCATGGCCCATCTGAACACAGTGACACTCTGGAGCTGGTGGTGACAGGTGAGAGAATCCGCCCCCAGACCAGAATTGTCTTAAGGAGGGAGTGTTCACCGAGGGCTCCTTTCTCAAATATGAGAAGATGGGAACAATGACTATACTTTAAGTTCACAGTAGAGGCTTTCTCTTCTCCTCTAGGACATTACCTCAGCAACATCACTTTGTCAGCTACGCCCAGCCGTGTGGTAACTTCAGGAGGGAGTGTGACCCTTTAGTGTGAATCACAAGAGCAATATAATATATTTGTTCTAATGAAGGATGGCAAGAAGCTCTCCAGTCAAGTTCCCTCACAGAATATGTCCTCTAGACTATTTGGAGCCGTGTTCACAGTGGGTCCTGTGACTGCCAACCAGAGGTGGAGGTTCACATGCTATGGTTTTTATTGGAGCAGCCTCCAGCTGTGGTCAGTGCCCAGTAACCACCTAGAGCTCCTGGTCTCAGGTAAGGCAGTGCAGGAGTTTCATTTGAGTGTAATTTTAACTGACACAAGATTCCAGCCAAGGACCTGATGTGTGGTAGTTGACTGAGAGCCAAGGCTACTGAATTCAGTGTCACAGAATGTGTGATATACCTGAACGTGAGGTGCCAAAACTAGGGTTGAAATAACAGTTGAATCCAAGAGCCAGGGAAAGTGTGGTCTTTGTGTGGGCTCTGCTATTGCAGATCAGCTCCTGTGTCAATGACAATTATGATCTTCTCGGTGGTATTTCCCTTGTAGATGCACCTTCTTTCTTTCTAAGTCTTTACAGGAACCATTCAAAGCCCAACATATGGGCTGAACCTCACTTGGTGATCCCCTCAGGGAGTCCTCTTACCATCTGGTGTGAGATGACACTGGAAAAACAAATATATGTGATATATAAAGAGGGGATCCTGGATTCCTGGGGCCAACAGATCCAAATAGCCCTTAACAAAAAAAAGAAAGCAATAAATCAGGATTCAGTGTGGTATTGTGTATAAGAAAAGGTAGAAATACTTCTCTTATATAGCTTCATTTACATAAATATGATATATTTAATTGAATTTCATTGTAATCTATTTTACATATAAATTGAACTACATTAATTGTTGCACAATATTACCAAAACTTTGCAACTATATATTTTTGGAAGTTTTAATCATTCCAAATACAAATTAACTATTTCTTGAATAACATTTCTTTATTTTTACTGGCTCTTCCCTTAGTATCTTCCATTGTACTATGTACAAAAATTTTCTATTTAATTGTCAGTATGTGGAAATATATTGTGGTTTTAATCTAATCTATCTTAATTCTTTAACCATTCCATATGAATTTGGCGGTGTTTCATGTTTGTGAGATGTAAATTTGTGTCATATTAAATTAAGAGGAGTATGTCTTACAATGACACCCCACAAAAGAGGTGGAATGGAATCCATTCTGGTGTGAGGTCTTGTAGCACGCTGGCTCAGCAAGTTGCCAATTTCATGTCACAAGGCCTGAAATTACACTGGGAATCACTGTGTCCCTTTTCTTGACAGACACAGCAGGAAGCCATTACCACCTAGACAGTCATAGAGACTCCTTACCTATAATGTCAGAGTTGATTTTCCAGAAAAATTCCTCCTTTTAAAAAAATGATTCCCTAGTGCTCTTTTGCTCTAGTAACTTTTCTTTCTACTTCTTTTTTTTAAAAAAAATATACTCTTTCCCTTTAACAACTAAAACAAATGCCCCACCAAAATAATGAGGCAAAACTCACCATTCCATCTGTGACACAGCTGCAGGCAGGGAGATATTACTATTATTCTTACACCTCTGCTGCATGGACACAGCACAGTGACACCATAGATCTGTTGGTGACAGGTGACAGGATACTTAAAATCTTAGTCGCAGATGTCACTCCCAAGAAAAAGTGATGTAGCTGCATAACCCTTTCATGCACTGCCATGGGATACAATTTGGCTGTATGAGCCCCTTTAAGTTTGCACAGACTTATTTCTTCTAGGAGTCTATGACAAGCCCACCTGTTCACCCAGCAGAAACCTGTTGTAAACTTAAGAATGTCTGTGACCCTCACTGGTAGCTCATATGAAATTTATGACTGGTTCATTTTGACTAAGGATGGTCAGAAATTCTCCACCCCTCAGAACCCAAGAAAAACACACACCGGGGTTTTCCAGGCCAGGTTCCATTTGGGTCCAGTGACCTCCAGCCAAAGGTGGAGTTTCAGATGCTATGGCTATTCCACAAGTAATCCTCAGTGTTTTCAAAAGCCAGTGACCCCCTGGAGCTGCTGGTCTCAGGTGAGGAAGCCTCAGACACTCTGTGGAAACACATTCTCTTGAACACAGGTTCCCAGTGGAGCCATGGTGTGTGATGTGTCTGACGATTCAGGGCTGAGATAATTGACACAGGAGTCAAGGTACAGAAAATGGGGAGAGGGCATGGGATCTCTGAAACCCTCAAGGATTAGGAGAGTGATGAGTCTTCCCATGACATTGCTGTCCCTTTTGATTCAGTGGTAAAGTACAAGAGCAGCAGAACATTTGGCTTTCACTGTGAAACTGTTCAATGTTCCATTTCTTCTCATCTACTTCCTTCCAGGGAATCTTACAAAACCCACCTTGTGGGCCGAACCAGGTTCCCTGATTGCCTTCGGGAATGCTGTGACCGTCTTGTGTGAGGGGACCAAAGAAACCCAAATATATTTCCTCTACAAGGAAGGAAGCCCAGCACCCTTGGGTAGTCAAACTCCAAAACATCCTGGTAACAAGGCCTTGTTCTTCATAGCATCCATGCAAAGACGTCATGCAGGGAAATACAGGTGTTACTCTTATGGATCTGCAGGGTGGTCACAGCATAGTGACCCACTAGAACTGGTGGTGACAGGTGAGAGGATGATTATTTTTGAAATTTTTTCCTTTTTTAATTTAAATTAGGAACAAGTTTGTTTTGCATGTCAATCCCAGTTCCCTCTCCCTTCCCTCCTCCCCTGTGTCCCACAATTCCCCTATCCTATCTCTTGTCTGCGCCCCAGGGAGGATGAGGCCTTCCATGGGG